GTGATGATGAGGAAAGGCCGGAGAGGCCGCGATTATTCTCATTGGAGCAGAGAAGGTTACGAGGACCTAATAGAGGTCTTCAACATCATGAGGGGATTTTATGGGTTAGAAAGGGACAAACTGTTCCCACTGGGGAGTGTCGGTGACTCGAGGTCACAGATTCAAAATAGTCTCTAAAGGAAGTCGAGGGGAGGGGAGAAGAATTATTTTTCACGCAGCGCGTTGTTTGAATCTGCAACATTGCCTGAAAGGTCGGTGGAGGCCGATTCCATAACTACTTTTAAAAACGCGGTGGACGGGTATTTGAGGAGGACGGGTTTGCGGGTTATGGGGAAAGGGCCGGGGAGTGGGACTGACATCACATTGCTCTATTGTAAGAGCCGCACAGACTCGATGGGCTGAATGGCCTCTTTTTGTGCTGTATGATTCTATGATTCTGTGATTCTTTGAAAATCCACCTTGTTTACCGCCCCCCTAAGGCCCCCGGCTGCTTCCACACAGACATCTCTACTCTCCTCTCTTCCCTGTCCCTCTGCTCCGAGCACCTACTCATAACGAGCGATTTCAACCTCCACCTAAACTCCCCTTGCACCACTTCTGCTGATTTCACTGCCCTCTTCTCCTCCCTAAAACTCACCCTCCATATAAACTCACCCACCCACCCACAACCGTGGTCATGCACTTGACCTCATCATCACCCATGGCCTTGACATTTCCAACCTCAGCATAGTGGACAAGGCCATCTCGGACCACTTTTTCATCTCCTTCTCCTCTCACATCCCTCTCTCCTCCACCAAGCCCTCAACCGTCCTCTACTGCCCTTGGAAAAGGCTACCCCCTGAGACCCTCACAAAGGCCCTCTCATTTTCAAACATCCTATCCCTCTGGCCTTCCACCCACAGAGATCCTGAAGGAGCCGTCCAGCTGCTCCATGATCGCCTCTCCTCCACCTTCAACTCCTTCGTCCCCCTAAAATCCAGGACCATCTCCAAACTCACCCGATCCCCCGGTACAACAACCATCTCCGCTGCCAAAAAACCCAAACTCGTCTCCTCGAGCGCAGATGGTGGAAAACTGGCCTGACAGTCCACCACCAACTGTGGCTCGAGCATCTCCACAGCTATTACCGTTCTTTGACACGCGCAAAAACGGCTTCTACTCCAACATCATCTTGGAGGCTAAACACAACCACAAAATCGTTTTTTCCACCACCCACTACCTCTTCCGTGCCCCCCCTCAGGCCTCCTCAATCTTCATATCAAATGCCAAGTGCGAGGAGGTCATGGACTTCTTTTTCAATTAAAATACTGAACATCCACCAGGCAGCCTAACCACCTGCCCCTTGTCACCCACCGCAATGCCCTCTCTGTCCCCCTCACCCTCCTCATCATCTGCTCCTACCACCGCCCCCTTTCCACACTCTTTTCCCCCCCATCTCTCCCTCCTCCCTCTCACCCACCATCACCACCATGAAACCCACCACCTGTTGCCTCGACCCGCTCCCCACCAACTTGCTGGTCACACAGCTCCCCTTCCTCTGCCCACTACTGGCTGATGTCATCAACCAGACTCTCTCCTCCGCATCAGTCCCTGCCCCCCTCAAAACTGCTGTCATCACCCCACTCCTGAAAAATCCTCCCGAGATCCCTCAAACCCCAGCCACTGCCGCCCTATCTCTAACCTGCCCTTCCTCTCAAAAGTTCTACAACGCGTTGTGGCCAACCAACTCCGCGCACACCTCCTCCCACTCCCTCTTCGAACCCCTCCAGTCCGGTTTCCGCCCACAGTACTTGTGAAAGTCACAAACTCCATCCTCTCTATCTGTGACCAGGGCTCCCTCTGCCTCCTTGTCCTCCTGGACCTCTCCGCCGCGTTCGACAGTCGATCACGCCATCCTCCTCCCCCGCCTTTCCTCTGCCATCCACCTCAGTGGGACCGCACTCGCCCGGTTCGAGTCCTACCTCACAAACCACCAGCAGTACATCTGCACCAACGGCTTCTCCTCCCGCTCTCACCTGGTTACCTGCAGGTACCCCAAGGATCCACCCTTGGCCCCCTCCTCTTTCTGATCTGATGCTCCCTCTTGGGGATGTCATCCGCAGATATGGGGTACATTTCCACATATACGCGGACGACACCCAACTCTATTTGTCCACCTCTCTTTGCGCCCCCCCAGTCCCCTGATGTTCTGCCTGTCAGATCTCAGGGGTTGGATGAACACAAACTTCCTTCAGCTGAACGTTGACAAGACAGAAGCCATACTCTTCGGCTCTCATTAACATCTAAAATCTCACGGTTCTCACCTCCTCCACCTTCCCGACCTCCCCCCAAAACTCTCCGAACCCGACACAACCCAGGCGTCAGGTTCGACCCCCAATTATCCTTCCTCCGCCACATCCGGTCCCTCACCAGCACCACTTTCTTCCACCTCTGACGCATCGCCCGTCTCCGCCAATACCTCTCCCCAAAAGCCGCTGAAGTCCTGGTCCAGGCCTTTGTCACCTCTCGGGTGAACTACTCTAACGCCCTCCTCACCGGTCTCCCGTCCACTGCCATCCATACAGCCCACATCACCCAGAACTCTGCCGCCCGCATTCTCACCCGCCCCAAACCCCACTCCCCGATCCCCCCAGTCCTGGCCCTCCCCCCCACCCCCAAACCCCACTCCCCGATCCCCCCAGTCCTGGCCCTCCCCCCACCCCCAAACCCCACTCCCCGATCACCCCAGTCCTGGCCCCACCCATCCTCCACCACCCCAAACCCCGCTCCCCACTCCCCGATCCCCCAAGTCCTGGCCCTCCCCCCCACCCCCAAACTTCACTCCCCGATCCCCCCAGTCCTGGCCAGACTGCACTCGCTGCCTATCCCAGAGAGGATCCACTTGAAGATCCTCACCTCGTATTCAAGTCCCTGCGCTCCTCTGCACCCCCCGACCTCTCTGACCTCTCTCCTCAGCACAGCACCCGTTGCCTTCGTTTACCCGGTTCTGGCCTCCTCCTCGTCCCCCGAGTCCTCCGCTCCCCACTCGGCGGCCGTGCCTTCAGCCCCTGTGCCCCGAGGCTCTGGAACCGCCTTCCTCACTCCCTTCGTCTCGCTCCCTCCCTTCCCATTTTCAGGTCTCTGCTGAAGACCTTTCTTTTCGACCGCACCTTTGGTCACCTTCGTCCCTCTCCCGGGCTCCTCCCCCTCCCCTGGCTCCTCCCCCTCCCCTGGCTCCTCCCCCCCCCTGGCTCCTCCCCCTCCCCTGGCTCCTCCCCTTCCCCTGGCTCCTCCCCCTCTGCCTGATTCGGTCCCGGGATCCGTTATTGTAAAGCGCTCTGAGACGTCGTCCGGGCGCTATATAAATCCAAGTTGTTGTTGTTGTTTTCTTCCCATTAGCCATTCTTGAATCTATATTAATATATTCCCCTTAATTCCTTATCTTGTGGATTAACCTTTTATGCGGCACCTTATCGAATGGCTTTTGGAAATCTAAATACACTACATTCACGAGAATGATACCAGGAATGGGGAACCTTAGCTATGAGGCCAGTGGAGAAGTTAGGACTTTTCCCATTAGAGCAGAGAAGGTTACGTGGGGACCTGATAGAGGTCTTCAAGATCATGAAAGGTTTCGACAGGCGCGATAGGGAAAGCTGTTTCCGCTGGTAGGTGTGTCTGTGACTCGTGGTCACAGTCTTAAGATATCTACCAAAAGAAGCAGAGGGGAGGTTAGAAGAACTTTTTTTCACTCAGCGAGTAGTTGGGATTTGGAATGATCCGCCCGAAAGGGCAGTGAAGTCCGATTCGATAACAGCTTTTAAGAGAGAACTGGACAGGTATCGGGGGAGGACGGGTTTGCAGGTTATGGGGAGAAAGCTGGTGAGTAGGGTTAGTGAAAGTGACTTGCTTTGTCAAAGAGCCGCACAGACTCGATGGGCCGAATGGCCTCCTTCTGTGCCGTAACATTCTATGAATCTATGAAAAATCCACTGATACCCCCTATCTAATCTACTTGATATGTCCTCAAAAAAATCTAAAAGATTTGTTAAGCATGACTTCCCTTTTGTAAAGCCATGTTGGCTCTGTCTAATTATATTGTGATCCTCTAAGTATCCCACTGCGACATCCTTAATTAAGGCTTCTAGAATTTTCCCTACCACCGATGTCAGACTAACTGGTCCATAATTCCCCGTCTTTTCTTCTTAAATAGTGGAGTGACGTTTGTGATCTTCCAATCCATGGCAACTGTTCCAGAATCCAAAAAATTTGGGAAGATCAGACACAAGGCCTCCACTATCTCATGAGCTCCTTTTAAAACCCTGGGATTCAAACCATCAGGTCCAGGGGACTTGTTACTTTTTAATGCCAACAATTTTCCTAACACCAATTCTTTGCTAATGTGTCACTGAGCCTCAGCAACAAATAATAATAATAATCCTTTAATCCGTCTCAAAAGCGCTTCACAGAATACACTGTAAAGTGAATTGACTGTATATTTGTGGGTGAACGCGGCAGCCAATTGCGCACAGCAATGTCTCACAAACAGCCGTGGATTGAAAATGACCAATTTATTATTGTTTTGTTTTGGAGGGATTATTATTAGGCTCTGTGTGGAGTAAGGAAACTTGCCCAAGGTTTCGCCCGGCCGGGAATCGAACCCAAGTGTCTCGCTCGGGAGGCGAGCGATCTAACCACTGAGCTACAGCACTTAACTACTAAATCTTGAAAAAGAGAGAAAATGGTCTGGTGGACAAACTTAAAATTATCAATGCGAATGGAGGCGATATATGTTAAAAACATAATCACTATTGTATTTTGAAAAGAAGTTTAATTCTGCTGCACACGTGGTAGATTCTAGCTTTAGAAAAAANTCTGCATGTTTCATATGACATTTAAATGACATTTACACAGGAGGTTGACCAAAGGCTTGGTCAAAGAGGAGGGACTTGAAGGAGGCGAGGGAGGGGCAAGGCTGGTGTATACAATGGGACAGGGTTGACTTTCCTGTGTTCCTACAGCACCCTCAGGACCTGGGACATGAACAATGAGAAGAGCCAGAAGAATGTGTTTAAGCCGCGTTCCTGTCAGGGGAAGCGAGTGATCCCCACGGCCTGCACATACAGCAGGGACGGACGGCTGATCGCAGCAGCATGTCAGGATGGCTCCATCCAGATCTGGGACAGGAACATGAGTGTGAGTCAGCAACACAGTACAACACAACATAATACATTACAATACAGTACAATACATTACAATACAGTACAATAATTTATAGTACAATACAGTACAATACAATAAATACAGTACAATACATTACAATACAGTACAAAACATTACAATACAGTACAATAAATACATCACAATAAATGTATTACAATACAGTCCAATGCATTACAATACAGTGCAGTCCAACACAATATAGTACAATACAGTGCAGTCCAGTACAATACATTACAATAAATACAGTTAATTACAGTACAATACATTTACAATACAATACACATAATACAGTACATCACAGTACATTACAATACAGAACTGTACAGTATAATATAGTACAAAACAGTACAGTTCAACGCAATACAGTACAATACAACAACAACAAGATTCCATTTAAAGACGTCCCAAGGCGCTGGACAGTTGGGTCAGGACCCGAGCAGGGGGGAAATGGTCAGGGTGAGGGGAGGGAAGGGAGGGAGCGAGGAGGGGGTAGAGAGTCGAGAGCGGAGCTGAAGGCTCGGTCAAAGAGAAAGGTCTTGAGACCGGCCTTGAAGGAGGAAAGGGAGGAAGCGGTGAAGGCACTGGGGATAGAGTTCCAGAGCCTCGGGGCTGAGAGGCTGAAGGCCACCGATGGTAGGGCGGTTGGGGCGGGGGATGTGGAGCAGACCGGAGCCAGAGGAACGGAGGGTACGGGCAGGTAAGTAGGGGGAAAGTAGGTCGGAGAGGTAGGAGGGAGCGAGGCCGTGAAT